GGGAAAGAGACTCACAGAGAAAAGCATCCCTAACAGGTGGATCATACCACGGTCCACCCTCAGACACAGGCAGCCTGGATAAGGGGCCCTCGGGCATGAACCCAGTACCTTCCCACATGGGTCCACTTGTGTTACCACTGCACCACCACCATCTCGCTCAGAGAAACACTGATTTGATGTTGAAATCCTCTCATCAGGGGTTTCTGTTCCCATTATTAGAAGAATAATTCTGGTAGAAAACATCAACGAAACAGGAATTTAAAAATAAATAGAAGTAAGGCAAGTACTGAAGGTAGGCTGTGCTCAGTGCTCTGCGTACAGTGGCTCACTTAATCCCCCTCACACCCCTTTAAGGGAGCTCATTCAGCCCCGTGCTGTAGATGAGGAGATCAGTGCTCGAAGAGTTTGTGTGACTGGCTCAAGGTGGCATGGTGATCTTGACCAGATCATTCTTTGGGGCTGACGGAGGAGCTACCCGGTGCATTGTAGGATGTTTAGCTGCATCCCTGGCCTCCACCACTAGATTCCTGTAGCATTCCCACAGTTGTGACAACTAAAAATATCTCCTGATGTTGCCAGATGTTCAGGGAGTGAAAAGGGGCATGGCAAAGTCATCCAGCATTTCAAACCACTGGCCTTAAAGGGAGATTAATTTGATAGCAGTGTGACCATTGGATTAAACAGAGGGCTAGCGTAAACAATTCAGTCAGACCATTCTAGTTCAAGCAGAAATATAAGGGCCAGTATTGAAGTGGTGGTTGCACAAATGGAAAGGAATACTTTTTTTTTTTTTTTTAGATTTTTTTTTTTATTGTGGTGTGTACACTCGCCAGAGAGAAAGTGAGAAATCACCCCCCAGGGAGGATGGCCATGCCACAGTCCTTTCTTCTCCAGTCTCCTCTGGGGATTTGGGGCACACATGTATATGCATCCAGCATGAGTTTCAAGCCACCAGGTCTGGGGCTTGAACTGCTGTCAGCCATGTCAGAGTCCAGCGCCTTAACCACTATACTACCTGCTGATCTCAGGAATGACTGTTTTTAACATTCAGCCCAGCTGGGTATAGAAAACAACTGTATCATGACTTTTTGAGGATGGAATTAAGAAGTGGAAAGAGGAGCGAGCTTTGACATACTTGAGCTTGAGGTGACTATGTAGAACTTGACAGGCAGCTCAGACTCGGGTTCCATGTTGTAGTTAGAATGTGTCTGGAGCCAGGAAACACCGCGGATGGGCACTTCTCAGTGTTCCCGTGTAGCGCTGGTCTCTTCCCAGGTCTTGGAGGTTTTTCTCCAGATTTTATGAAACCTGTTGCTTGTCTCTGCTGGAATCCCCACAACATACTTTTTGGATTCAAATCAGTATTTTATTGTGGCTCTGAAAAGGTATGACTTGAAAATATTTTATCAGAACAGCTTTGAAGACACTGGCGCCCAAAGGTAATTCCATTTAACGTTAGCAGGCTCACATTGAGCAGCTGCTTTGGGCCAAGTATCATACCTGCTTATGGATAGAAGTGCATGGGACACACGCCTGTCCTCAGGAGCTCGTGGTCCCCTGGGGACTCTGCAGGCAATGTGGTTGGGACCTCAGTGGGATTATATGCAGGGTGCTTAGGAAGCATAAAGGAAGAGCATCTAATGTGAGAACTGCAAGGGTAGAGAAGTTAGTGGGACTAAGATAGGTAGAAATTGATAAAAAGTCAAATCATGAAGATGAAGACTTTTACAGAGGACTGACCTTGATAGAGGTTCCATTGGTTAACAAATAGAATGATCTGTTAGTCAAAATGTTGGCATAACCTTTCAAGAATGCACGTTTTTCCTTTTAAGTTAAAGAATGAAAGTACTGGCAAGACAGAGCTATACCCGGGGAAAGGGCCAGCATCGGCATGGGGTAGGGGGAGGTTACAAAGAGTGACAGATGTGCATTGTGTATTTGCAGGGCAAGGTAAAAAGTCTTTTTTAAGGTCCAACCCCATGGCTTATTGGTTAAGGCAGCTGGATCCCACATGGCAAACCACATGGTTCTAGTCCCAGACCCAGTGACTTAAACATGCTGGGCCTGCATGCTCAAAATCCTGAAAGGAGGGCGAGAGGGAGGAGAAGGGATTGCGGGGTGACCATTCCTCATGGGCATGCTTCCTCCTCTCCTTCCCTGTCTCTCTCTCTCTGGCAAGTGCACATGCTTTCTGGAAAAAAAAAAAAAAAAGCTTTTAAATGAGTTGACACATAATAATTGTACACGTTTATAGAGTACAGTCTGAGTTTCCCATACATGACTATAATGTATAATGATCAAATTAGGATAGTTAGCATATCCATCACCTCAAACATTGGTCACTACTGCCCTTTGGGGACATTCAGAATCCTCACCTCAAGCTATCTTGAAGTGTTTACTCTAGTCACCCTCATGTGCTGGAGGTAGAATTTATTTCTTGGTGCAAAGTCTTTTGTGAGTGAATAATAAATTCTTGATGAACTGTAATGCTATACTCTCACACACTATCTAAAAAGTTAGGTTTTCTTTAATAGGTTTTCTTTAATCGTTTATTCTTCCTCTCTTCCTTGAGAAAGAGAAAGACAGGTACCTCCAACAGGGCCCCCATGCCATGACCCACCCCAGCCAGCCCACTGTGTACAGGGAGACTCTGGGATGCAAACCGGGGAGATTCCCAGTTGGGTCTGGTGTCACAGAGCATTGTGTTACTGCCACACCTCCATCCAGCCCTAAAAATTTAGTTTTCAATTTAAAATGTATTTTGGT